TAGAATAGAATAGAATAGAATAGAATAGAATAGAATAGAATAGAATATTTTATTGGCCAAGTGTGATTGGACACACAAGAAATTTGTCTTGGTGTAAGTACTCAGTATACAGAGGTGTATTGTGAGCTTCTGTCAGTCAATATTGTCAATTTTAATAAATACTGCTGCATGGATTCTGCATTACCTTTTCTTTTTTGCCTTTTCTCAGGGATTCAAAAATGATTTTGAGAAGGAAGAAGGACAATTTTTGGGATCATTTGTCTACAGAGTGGATAGATTTCCTTTGCAAACATTTAAATTAGAGGTAGGTTGCAGAATATAGAGGGGAGGGGGGAAACTACAACCAAACAAATTTGAGAATGAGTCTTAACTTTATCACATATTCGTGTAATGTCATTTTTATAAATGTCTCGGTAAAAGCTACAATCATTGCTCTTTTATGGGACTGATATTGATTTAGAAGAACATTACCAACATTTCAAAAATACCATTTGCAAATAGTTTAAATTTAGATTGCAGATCACTATACTTAATTGATAAGCAGCTCTTTATTCTGGCAGGTAGCTAGTCTAGAAAATTGAGAAGTTAAAAAAAGTCAAAATGTAACTTAGCAGGCATTTACATCTCACTGAAGATGCCCTTCCAAATATATTACAGCATATATTAAAAATATAATACAACAAATTTGTAACAAATAAATAAAACAAAATGATTCCACCAATGAAATACAGGCGAAACTCGAAAAATTAGATTATTGTGCAAAAGTTCATTTATTTCAGTAATGCAACTTAAAAGGTGAAACTAATATATGAGATAGACTCATTACATGCAAAGCAAGATAGTTCAAGCTGTGATTTGTCATAATTGGGATGATTATGGCTTACAGCTCATGAAAACCCCAAATCCACAATCTCAGAAAATTAGAATATTGTGAAAAGGTTCAATATTCTAGGCTCAAAGTGTCCCACTCTAATCAGCTAATTAAGCCATAACACCTGCAAAGGGTTCCTGAGCCTTTAAATAGTCTCTCAGTCTGGTTCAGTAGGAAGCACAATCATGGGAAAGACTGCTGGCCTGACAGTTGTGCAGAAAGCCCTCATTGACACCCTCCATAAGGAGGGAAAGCCTCAAAAGGTAATTGCAAAAGAAGTTGGATGTTCCCAAAGTGCTGTATCAAAGCACATTAATAGAAAGTTATGTGGAAGGGAAAAGTGTGGAAGAAAAAGGTGCACAAGCAGCAGGGATGACCGCAGCCTGGAGAGGATTATCAGGAAAAGGCCATTCAAAAGTGTTGGGGACTTTCACGAGGAGTGGACTGAAGCTGGAGTCAGTGCATCAAGAGCCACCACACACAGACGGATCCTGGACATGGCCTTCAAATGTCGAATTCCTCTTGTCAAGCCGCTCCTGAATAACAAACAATGTCAGAAGCATCTTACCTGGGCTGAAGAAAAACAGACCTGATCTGTTGCTCAGTGGTCCAAGGACCTCTTTTCTGATGAGAGTAACTTTTGCATCTCATTTGGAAACCAAGGACCCAGAGTCTGGAGGAAGAATGGAGAGGCACACGCTGCAAGATGTTTGAAGTCCAGTGTGTCCACAGTCTGTGTTGATTTGGGGAGCCATGTCATCTGCTGGTGTTGGTCCACTGTGCTTCATTAAGTCCAGGGTCAATGCAGCCGTCTTCCAGGAGATTCTGGAGCACTTCATGCTTCCTTCCGCAGATGAGCTTTATGGGGATGCTGACTTCATTTTCCAGCAGGACTTGGCACCTGCCCTCACTACCAAAAGCACCAAAACCTGGTTCAATGACCGTGGGATTACTGTGCTTGATTGGCCAGCAAACTCGCCTGACTTGAACCACATAGAGAATCTATGGGGCATTGCCAAGAGAATGATGAGAGACATGAGACCGAACAATGCAGAAGAGCTGAAGGCCGCTATTGCAGCATCCTGGTCTTCCATAACACCTCAGCAGATAGCTTCCACGCCACATTGAGGCAGTAATTGCTGCAAAAGGGGCCCAAACCAAGTACTGAGTCCATATGCATGCTTATACTTTTCAGAGGTCTGATATTGTTCTATGTACAATCCTTGTTTTGTTGATTGCATGTAATATTCTAATTTTCTGAGATTATGGATTTGGGGTTTTCATGAGCTGTAAACCATAATCATCACAATTATGACAAATCATGGCTTGAACTATCTTGCTTTGCATGTAATGAGTCTATCTCATATATTAGTTTCACCTTTTAAATTGCATTACTGAAATAAATGAACGTTTGCATGATATTCTAATTTTTCAAGTTACACCTGTAAATATGATATCTCAATATAAAATATATTTTTCGTTGTTCAGAATTATTCTACATCCTCTCAGCAAAATTAGATTGCTTATAGCATTATATACAGAAAATAGATAGTATATGTAAACCCAGATTCATGGATTATTTACAAACACTCTGAAATGTTATCAGAGTCCTCTAACATCTTCTGTTTGTGTGTACCTTGTTTACTATAACATTTTGAGAATACTACAAAATCACTGTGAATTTTGTTTAAAGCAATATCTGTCTTTTGGACAAGACAAATGAACATTAATAGAACAGATTTTGCAGGCTAAAACCCTTTTCTAGGAAACTAATGTTTAGCATTAAAAAGATAAGAGCATCCCACTCAGATCTATTCTGAAAAGGAAAACCGAGGAAACATTGCAATAGTGGAATGTTATGCTTCCTGAATGGGTCTATAAAAGGAAACAAAGAGACAGGCTGCAGTTTTAAAGAGAGAAAAGGCTGAGTTTAATTTGGGGTTTATAATTTCTAAATTATTTAGAAACCTGATTTGGTATTTAAATCTCTACTGAGCCATAGGTTCCACCTGCTTATTCATCAATATTTTTAAATATCACGAATGACGGAAGCGTCAAATGATCTAGGAAATCAAATCCAAAGAATACAGAACAACAAAATTGGAAGGGGCCTTGGAGGTCTCCTAGTTCAACCTTCTGCTTAAACAGGACACCTTATACCATTCTGGACAAATGGCTTTCCAATCTCTTCTTCAAACCTTCAGTGATGGAGCACCCACAACTTCTGACCTTCCACTAATTAATTGTTCTCACTGTTAGGAAATTTCTCATTAGTTCTAGGTTATATCTCCCCTTGATAAGTTTCCATTTATTACTTCTTGCCTGTCCTTAGGTACTTTGGAGAATAGGTCAACCACTTCCTTTCTGTGACAACCTCTCAGATATTGGACTAAACGTACCCAGTTCCTGCAACCGTTCTTCACATGTTTTATCCTCCAGTCCCCTAATCATCTTTGTTGCTCCTCTCTGCACTCTTTCTAGAGTCCCAACATCTTTTTGTATCGTGGTGACCGCTCAAACTTCCATACTGGCCAGAGAAATAGGATGGACATAATTTTTATCAAATTTGTACCACACCATTCTTAGTCTATGCAATACCCCTGGGTAGGTATATTGTACATACAAAGATCTATCCTCTTTAAGGCTTGAGTTCACTGGGTCATCAAGACTTAAAGTCACTTCTAACAGGACAATTTTACAGATTTAGAGCCAGATTCATTCTAAAATAAATTGATTTGATCTCTCTTTTAGCATGAGTGTATGAATTACAGCCTGGTTTGATATGTCCCTAGAGTTGGATGTCACTTTTTACTCAAATCCAAACTAACAAAAGACAACTGATTAAGATAGTCATATTGCTAACTCTTTTCAAATCTTCCTCAAAGAGCTGGTAGGAAAACATTTCCAATTGTTGTATTAAAGCCACTTCCATATCACTCTGCTAGTGTATTTTGACTTAATATACTAGAAGAAAAGCAGGAAAAGAGAAGCAGGATTGCAAAGATCTACATTGCATAGATGGTGGCTAGTAACTTTGGTATTTGTGTTTCACTGTTCTTGATCCTTTTATTTTATTTTCAGGGAGCACCTTTAGATAAATTTAAATATATGCTCTTGAAGATCTTGACTAATTGGCATCATCCAAACTATACATGTATCTATGGATTTCGAGTATATGGAGAATAATTGTGCTGATAGCGTGAACAGGAAAATTCAATATAATAAATACATAATGGTGTATTCTTATTGCTAATGTATTAGCTATTATTTTTAAAAGGTGTCTCAATGTTGTTTTAGTGTATAACTTGTTTAATGGTTGGAGATATCAACACAATGTTCAGGAAAGAAAAATACATTAAATGTGTTCAGTTTATTGAAAAACTTACCATCAATTTGTCCTATAAATAATATTTGCTAATTAGTACACTAAAAGACCAGTTTGGTCTAATCTAGTGATTAAGAGACCATGCTAGAAACTTGGAAACTGTGAGTTCTTGTCCTGCCTTAAACATGAAATCCAGCTGGGTGAGTTTGGACCCATCACTCCCTCTCAGCCCAACCCACTTCACAGGGTTGTTGTGGGGAAAATAGGAGGAGGAAGTTATGTGTGTCTCCCTGAGTTATTTATAAAAATAATAAAGGCAGGATAAAAAATAAATAATTGTAATGGCAATTTTTTTTGAGAGAATTGGAACCTTAAGGTGGATATATTGCCTTTCTAACTACTATCAATACCCTCTTCCTCTTGCATCACCTTTACATCTTAGAGCCTGTATCACAGTCAATTCTAATAAAATTTATTATGGTAGTTTTCATGATGTGGAGCCAGCTTTGCCAGATATATGAGAATGAGAAAGGTTATTTAGTTAGTGAAAATGAAGAGAGGGAGGGAGGGAGGGAGGGAGGGAGGGAGAGAGAGAGAGAGAGAGAGAGAGAGAGAGAGAGAGAGAGAGATGTAGAATAGATAATCAAGGCAAGTTATTATTTTTTTTAAACAATTTTTAATTGGTTTTTAAGACGAACATAGACAAAACATAAAAACATCAAGCCATCTTCCATATATATACATACAGTGTGCCGGTTGGTTTACAAATTGTTTTGTGCTTCCATTTCGTAGTCTTCAATTACAATTACATTGTATATATTCTCATATTTTCAATCAAGTATTAAATACATTAATATCATTGTTAATCAATCATTTGACTATACTTTTATTCATTCATGTTTTACAAAATAATCATATTTTACTTAATTTGTTTTATAACAGTTCATATTATCATCTCAAATCTATCCTACAATCATTTTGTAGATATAATAAGAAAAGAATATATCTTTATATATTTATTATTTTCTAAGAATCTACATATTTCATTACCATGTTTTATTGTCTAACCATTGATAGAATAGATCCCAAATTTTATAAAATTGTTTATCATCTTGTTCTCTGATTTCAAGGCAAGTTATTATGTGTAGGCTTTGTGATATGATTGGCAACTGTACTGGGGATAAAAGAACAATCTTGCCTTAATTTGTATTCTGTTACTGGATATATGTGTTGAAAGCTCTTCTGTGCTCAAGGCCAGAACCATCCAAAGGAAGCAGTAAGTAAGCATCTACTGAGAAAGCAACTGGTTGATGGAAAGTCACAGGGGGAAATCCCAGGGCATCAGGCTAAACTGGGACGTCAAGAAATCTCAGGGGGAAGGCAATGACAAACTGTTTGTGAATGGTTGCTAAAGTAAATCCCATGGATTTATCTGCGTAATTCTCAGATTGCAAGCACAACTCAAGGGGTTTTGTATATTTGAAATGAAAAGCAACCTAACTGGAACTGTGATCTGAAATGAATGTGTGGCTGTGAGAGAGAGATGGGGATTAGTTTTCTGCAAGTGAAAAGGACAAAGGGGAAATGATATGGTGCAGAAACAGAGCTACTGCAAATATGGAATAAAACAAGCACGATAAATCAAAAGATAAATCAATATTCTTAGGCACAACTAAAATGCTTTTGATGAAGGCCTAAAGGCAGGGTAAAACACTGAATCTTGCCCAGCTACTCTTCTAAAGTTTAATCTGCTTCCGACTCACTCAGGTAGGGTCAGCAACAGTAAGTGAAAAGAACAAGTGCCTACCCAAGATCAAAGAGGGCCAAAGCACAGGTTATGCTGGAAATGGAAGGGCATTCAGTAATGCTGCATTTAAGATACAGGAAATCTACTGTTTATTCCATTACATGTTTCCTTGAAGTGGGCCCCCAAATTTTTAGATTGTATGGTTTGATAAAGGCATGGTGTCAGAAACAACAGACATAGTTATTGTTTTGAACAAATCTATTGGGTTTTTCTGAAGCAGTACTGTCTGTGAATAATTAGCATACCATTTTCTCACTATAAAGTCCTCTTTTTTCTTCCTACATTTGGCAAATCTGCAAAGTGATTACGTTGAGTTTTCTCCCTTTTTTTCCTCTAGCATTGGCAGCCTTCTGCAGGAAAAAATGGTGAAACAAAGGTAGAAGTTAAAATTAAATACAACATTCTTTGGCTGGTAGCTGACTATATTACTGTTTCTCATGATATATCCATATTCAAGATGTTTGGAGAGTGTCCAGTTTGAAGAAACTGCTTTAGTTTGATTCAAATTCAAACAGATGGTTAAACATTCAACCCTCTTAATTTGTTCATTACCTTAAGAAGACAATTAGAAAGGAAACAAATAAATGACCTATGGTGATTACTCTAGTTTCACTTACTTTGAGAAAGCCCCTTATTTATTTGATGCTGTTTTTAACAAAGAAGAATTGTAAATAAAACGAAAAAGCACCTTCATGTGGTTGAACATTCTGAATACAGTTTGGTGAAATATCTAGTTCCACCCTATTGTGTGTGTGTGAGTGTGTGTGTGTGTGTGTGTGTGTGTGTGAATTTAAATTCATACACCTTATAATAAATGGATCTTCATTTATAGGTCCAAATAATCATGTTTCTTGCGCGCGTCCCGCCCCCTGCACATGCGTGCCAGCTGCCTAACAATCAGCTGGTGGGCGGCACGCGTGCCTGTGCAGTGGACCTGCTCTGGGGCAATGGCTCGTGTGCCGGCAGAGATGGCTCTGCGTGCCACTTCCGGCATGCATGCCATAGGTTCGCCATCACGGGATTAGATTAATATTTTTGCAATGTATAGATGATTTATAAGGTGATTGAGAAAATACTATGATGAATCTGATTTAAAAGATGTATAGATCTGATATGTAGTTGTGAGAAGTACATAAAAATGAATCAACAGACTTTGGATAATCTGATCCATAGGAGGCTTTATTAAGGAAAATACTGCAGTATGGACCCTTGACTCCAAAACCATGTTTAGGAGAGAAGGAGACACTCCCATTTAGTGAATGCAGCTTATATAGGTTTATCAAATCACATGGTTACATAACACTTCCTGTTTCCCATATGTGGACGTTATACAACATTTTCATAAGAAAGTTCCAACCTTCCATGGACAACTCCCTACTTTCTCATTATAGTCAGATTTCCTGTTATTCAAATACCAGAAGATTATAAGAAAACATCTCTTAATGTGACGTCTAATGTCAGAGCGCCCCAGCACATACCTCTAACTTATGCCAAGTACATAGTTTTGCAATATCGTATTATTCCTAGCAGAAAACACATTACATAAATGTTCTGAGCTTCAAAAGTTCAGACTGCGAACACAAAATGGCTTCAGTTCGGCTCTTCACATTTTCAGGTGTAATAACCAAATTTTCACCTATAACAATCCACTGTTTTTCTCTTGTAAATAATTTACATCTGAGAATTTCCATCAGGCTCTCACAACATAAGCCTAACTCCTTGCTGACTAAACGTTTTACGTTTTACTTCAGGTTTGCCTTACTACAGCGGAAACACAACTTACATATCATCACATTCTGTAAAAGACGCTTCACTAAACATTAATCTTTTTCCTCTAAATTTCTTCACATGTTCATCCACAGATTCATGTTCAGCATCTCATAATATAATTTAATTTCTTTGTTTATATCCTTAGCATGGGCAGTTGCCATAACAGTCAATAAACAACCAATTGCACACCCATTGTATTAACTGGTATAAATGTATATGCATATGTTCCATAAAACATAAACCAACCTCTAGGTAAATACAGCACATGTTTCATTCCACCTACGTCTTCAACCTCCATACAATAAAAAAACTTCAGTAGGCAAATAAGTATAAATTGGTTTGTCACCTGGATGTTTATACTTAATACAATCATAAGCTGAAAAATCTGTCAGCTTTTTCTGATTAGTCCATTTTGTTGGCTTCACAGGAAATCCAAATAAAGTATCATCTTTGACAAATTATACAAAACATAAGCATCAGGATGTATAATAATTGTAAACTCTACTATATAAAAAATAATCTTCCTGACACTGGAATTTCTATAAAACAAGTAGACATGATGTCTGTAACTGTAGTCTCTCATTTCACACAAAAAGAAAAACTATTTAAAGCTACTCTCATTAATTCAAGAAAAATATTTTCACTTTTCGCAGTCAGCTCTTTCCCTTCAGTATCTTACACTTCTATGTAAAATTCTTGGTGTTTCAAAACATCTAACTGTACATCTACAGTTAAATGGACATTTTGCAACAGCTAAATTGTCACACAAAAACATCAACTTCATTAGAGTACTTCTTAATTCAATGAATGGCATAAACAATCCATTCTCCAAAGCTCTAAATCTCAAATAGGAAGGAGAATAATTGCCATACATGTCTAAACAACGACCATATAGTTGTTCCATCCCTTAGACAAGTCCTTATGTTATATGACAATGTCATCTGTGCGGTTACATACTGGATATTTTCCCAAATATAAACCATCATTCAAGGCGGATCTTATACAGATTTCAACCTCAGCCATAGGTGTCATCAATGTCAGTGATATCTGCCCTTCATATTCTATACTGTCGGGTTCAGTTTGGAAACATAACCGTTGCCATGTTAATAGATAACCAGGCAATACCTCAGAAGGCAATACCTCCATTCCTACCCCACATAAGGCAATAATCACTATCCACATCATATTAACAAATAGATGAGGCCCCCACCCACCTTAACGTATGTAGTTTTACACTTCAAAACTTACAACTGGTCTTTGGGGACTTACATCCACAATACCTGT